TGCTCTGCTTTTGTATAATACCTGAATGGATGTGGGGAAGCCGAAAGACTTAAACGCATTGAGGGAAGAGGGAAAGAATGGACTCCTTTACTGGAGAACTGAAAAATATTTAAAAACTCAACCCCACCTTATCTTCTACAGGTGGTATTTGACATATTTCTAACTTTTTGTTCATTTCCACTAGATTTGTTTTCTTTTTGTGTTCAACTTGGTCTTGTGGTTATCTGAGGTTTTAGCCTTTCTGCACTCAGAGCAATATCTGCTTTTCACCGAACTTTGTATTCAGGTCATACAATCCCTACATTAGTATTAGCATTTTTATTTGTTCCATTTTTTTATTTTGATAAAATAATACAAACAAAATGCATTAAACCAGATGTGAGCCAAGCTGCTGTAAGTCCTACAAGTTGGTTCCTCCCTTGTCAGGCCCACCTGGACTCTCCTATCAGATAGAACTATCTACTCTGAGATACATGTAGTTCTGTGTATCTACCAAAGGCAGTTTGAAAACCATACAATAAAATGTAAAAATTGCTCAAGTGATGCTGGGCAGACCTAAAGATGTTTGAACACTCCAAACTGAACTTTTTCCTGTGCAAAAGTCTGGATCCTGGTTCCTCAGGAAATAACTAGAAGCATGAATCTAGTTTGAAGGTCAGTTTATGATTGTTGGTGCGGTAGCCACATTGTAATTTAAACAAAAGGGCCAATTGTCCAAAATTGCAGGCATGGATGTGTAGGGCCACCAGGGCTTTGGCTTCGAAGTGAGGATGTGAAGGATTCTCTCAGGAGTAAAGCAAATGAGCTTAGTTTCAAAAGCTTCCTTCCTTTCCAGGATCCTTGCTGGATTCTGCTTGAGTGAAGAGACTAAACAGCTAACCTTTGTTTATGTGGAGAATGCACACACATGCAATAAACATGATCCGGAGTGATGTTTTGTGCCCAGTAGACTCAGTGATTGTGAAGACAAACATGGCTCCTGGGCAGTGCAGTTGATGGGGGTTTGCCAGTGATAATTTGTATAGAGTTGTGCTGATCTTTGCAGGGCAGATGGGATTGGGGTATGAGAGGGGAGTAGAAGCCTATCCACAGGTCCAGGAAAGACTGAGAACAAGATGGTTCAGTTTGGAATGGGTGTGATGTTTTGGAAGGCAGACGAACAGACCCATCTGCTTGGAAAAAAAGATTGTGGTGGTGGGTGGTGGTAGGGAGTTGAAATAAAAAGAGCCAGAAACTTTATGTGGCCTTGGCATGGGGAGGACTTTTAACACTAGTCCAGGGGGGTTGCCCTGGCAAACTCAGTGCTGTGCACTTTTGCATAGAAAGCCAAGTGGGGGATGATTGGTGGCAGGATGCAGCCTACCACCTTGCTGAGGTGCTCACTCTTCCCCAGTAGAGCCTGAGATCCCTCCCCAGTGGCTCTGGCCTTATCCCGACATACAGGAACTGTGCTTTTTAGCTAATAGCAGCCAAAAAAAATAAAAAATAAAAAATAAAAACCCCAAAACCCACAAAAATGCTCCTTGCTGATAAATTAATACCAAAAGAACTCTAGTGTACCAACTCCCAGTATTGCCCTTCTGGTAATAAAAGGGGAGCTAAGATTTGCTCAGCTCTCCTCACTGTAGAGATGTGGTCAAAGAGATTCTGAAACTGAATAACTCCTTTGAAGTGATTTACTCCTTGCTGAAGTCATGTTACCCACGAACACCTTTCCTGGCCCTGGCCAAAAACTGCAAAAAAAAAAAAAAAGAAAAGAAAAGAAAAAAAATATACCTAGAATATTCCTACTGAATAGTATGTGCTATCCAAGAGAGAACCACAAAGTCTCTGGTTCATAAATATTTCAGAATGATAGGCAAATAAATCTAGACATTCTCAATGCTGTCATTGAAAATTGTGTTAGGGCTCGGCGCCTGTGGCTCAAGCAGCTAAGGCGCCAGCTACATACCCCTAAGGTGGCAGGTTCGAATCCAGCCCGGGCCCGCCAAACAACAATGACGGCTGCAACCAAAAAATAGCGGGGTGTTGTGGCGGGTGCCTGTGGTCCCAGCTACTTGGGAGGCTGAGGCAGTAGACTTGCTTGAGCCCAGCAGTTGGAGGTTGCCGTGAGCTGTGATGCCACGGGACTCTACCCAGGGGGAAAGCTTGAGGCTCTGTCTAAAAAAAAAAGAAAATTGTGTCAGAATTTGTGTATATACAATGAAGCTGCAACTATCTGGACGGATGTCTTGACGATGTACTGTACTCATAGGTGGATGGATGAATCAAAAGAGTAGTGTGGATGTTCATTTTAATGTTCTTGATTAGGAAAACATGTTCTGTGCGTTTTATTGCCCCCTACTAGAGGATCATCCCACAAGTGTCTGCTACAGTGTCTGCTGAACTATGAATGGATGTCAGGGCTTAGGTATTAGTTTTCAGTTGATACATGATAATTTACTCAGAAATTTAGCGGCTTCAAATGATAGTAAGCATTATTTCACATGATTTCTGTGGTACAGAAATTTGGTAGTAGTTTAGGTAAGCAGATCCTGCTTGGGTCTCATCAGGTTATGGTCAAGATGCTGGCCAGGGCTGCAGTCATCTGAAGGCTTGATGAAGGTTGGCGAATCCATGTCTATGGTGGTTCCCTTACATGGCTGGCAAGTTGGTACTGGCTTTTGGCAGGACTCCTCGGTTCTTGTCCATATGGGCCTCTCCACAGGGGTGTTCGATTGTTCTTGTGATGTGGCTACTGGGTTCTCCCCAGAGCCAGTGGTCTAGGACAGTGGTTCTCAACCTTCCTATTGCTACGAGCCTTTAATGCAGTTCCTGTGGGTTGAGACTCACAGGTTGAGAACTGCTGGTCTAGGAGAACAAGGTGGCCCTGTGTACTTCTGAGACCAAGTGCAAGAACTTGATGACTTCTTTATGTTTATAGAGAACTTGCTCTTGGAGTTAACTGGCCTTTGAGAAGTGTGATTCCTCCTTGCCTTGCCTTGATCATTCTGTGCATGATCACACGAACTCCATGCTTTGTTTACAAAGGAAATGGAGTCATGAGACATGGATTCTACATAAAGCCAAAATAAAATTCATGAAAAATAGATTAAAATAACCTGGTTGCTTTTTTGAGCAAAAACAGAAAAATATGAACTTTTAAAAATTTTATAACAGTTCTGAATTGTAAAATAACTGGATTGGGCTCAGCAGTGCTGTAAGGATGGATTTCCTACCTACATTTGTTAATCAAAATGAGATCATGTATGTAAATGTGCTTAGAATGTGCCTATGTTTGGGCATTTTTCTCTAGGCTTATTTATAAATCTTATTCTAGAATAGTAACAATATATGCTTAGCACTCAATTTGTATTAAAGTAGGATTTTTTTTTTTTTTTTTTTTTGAGACAGAGCCTCAAGCTGTCCCCCTGGGTAGAGTGCCATGGCATCACAGCTCACAGCAACCTCCAACTCCTGGGCTCAAGCGAGTCTCCTGCCTCTGCCTCCCAAGTAGCTGGGACCACAGGCGCCCGCCACAACGCCTGGCCATTTTTTGGTTGCAGCCGTCATTGTTGTTTTGGCGGGTCCGGGCTGGGGATTCGAACCCGCCACCTTAGGGGTACGTGGCCGGCGCCTTAGCCGGTTGAGCCATAGGCGCCGAGCCAGTAGGATTGTTTTTGCTGTGGTTTGGTCCCATGCAGGTCTTGAATCATGCAAAACACCCTGCCTTTACCTGCTTGACTTGGAACCATGCCATGAGTGTACCATTCCCAACTGGTAAAGGAATGGCGCATTGTGGCATGAGAGCGTATACTAGATCTTGTGATGTGATCATTTTTTAGTGCATTGTGTTCAGCAGGATATCAATGGCATATATTACCTTCTATGTATGTCTGTTTTTATATTGACTGTAACTTCTTAAAACCATGTGTTTAAAATGATGATGAAGAGTTAGATCAGTGTCATTCTGGTGGTGTTTACCAGTTTCTAACTGCTACTGGCACAGACAGCTTTGTTGTCCAACCAGTTTGGGGAAATCACATGTTCAGAATTCATGCTGGTCTCATGGGGCTTGGCTGTGCTTGTGTCTTACTTTCTTGGGGCCAGGGACTTGAACAGAAGAAGTGGGAGGATTCGGTTAGTGAAATTTAGGTTATCAGATTCCCATGCATACCAGTCAGTGTGCATTTATAGGAGCAGTCCAAGAGATGGCTGTCCAGAGTCAATTATAGTTGTGTTTCATTTTCTACACCAGCTGCTTTCCAGACACTGTCCTGTCATCAGTGTGATCATAGGGTGGAGGAGGAGAAAACTAGTTACGGAATGTGAAACCCCTTTACCTTTGTTGCTTGTCCAGCCCAGGTTTTCTTAATCAGATTTCCTTCAAGGAGAGACACGTGCTTTTATTGTTGTTCTCCTGAAAAACAAAATTGGAAATTTCTGATTCCTACTGTGTAAGGAATATAGGAAGTAGTTAGTGGGGATCTCATTGTAGTATTTCCTTGCATGGCTCTTTGTATTTGGTCAATGGTTGATGTTTAATTCATTAACATATGAACACTGGTATATTACAAATGCATTTTATATGGATTGAAGCTGGTGTTCGTGTGTAATGTAGAAACTGCAAGTGGTGGTGGGGGGAACATTTCTCAGGGAATGAGAACAGAGCACAGGTGCTCTCCTATTGTTCTGGAAGAACTGCATTCCATTGTCATCACCTCATTAAACATACTGTTTGGCAGAAGATGGTTGTTTTACCTGTTTTGTTAGTAACTGTATCTATTTTCCCTGGTATTTAAATTTGTACTTACATATAGTAATGCTTTTTAAATATGAGTGTACTAATATAGTTATTGATTATTGTTTCGGCAAAGCTGGTGAATTAATTTTCCAACCAAATAATTGGAGCAAAAGCAGTCAACTAGAGAATTATACTTTTACATTAATACCTAATTCTAGAGTTAGTTAACTTATATTGACCTTGCTTTCACATTTGTTTTTATAATTTTATTTTGCAGGATAACAAAGCCATTGACCTTTGCCGATTGTGTTGGGGACGAGCTTCCTTTAGGATGGGAAACTGTGTATGATAAACAAATTGGAATTTATTACATGGACCACATAAATAGTAAGTAGAGTGCCAAATTTATGGCATTTTATGAGAATGAGTTTTCATGTTGAATCTCAAAGATGCTAATAGCTTTATGTAGCGTGAATGGTGAGTGCTGGCCAATGCAGCATTAAACTGTGTTTTGTAAATGTAATTGGAGTTTTCATTAGCTGAGTTCTTTAAAATGAAGCAGTTATGTAGCAGTGTTTTGCTTGTGTCTTGCTGAAGACTGCATGTAATACGTTTGATGAACGGTTTTTAATATCTAATATAACAAATAACCTTCTCTGGCAGTGGGAAATAGAAATACTTCTCATCATGAAAAGTTGTTTATTGCAAATGGAACTTACACATTCTTGGAACAATAAGTGGTTACTTTACCTTCATTTTTTTTTATATATTTAACTTTAATATACCAAATCTTTTTGGTGGTGGTATATATGTGTGTGAGTGAGAAAGGAGGAAATGGGGTGGTGCCCGTAGCTCAGTGGGTAGGGCACCGGCCACATACACCACGGCTGGCGGTTCGAACCCAGCCTGGGCCTGCTAAAACAACAACGACAACTGCAACAAAAAATAGCCAGGCATTGTGCTTGGCACCTATAGTCCCAGCTACTTGGGAGGCTGAGGCAAGAGAATCACTTAAGCCCAAGAGTTTGAGGTTGCTGTGAGCTGTAACACTGCTGCACTCTACCCAGGGGGACATAGTGAGACTCTGTCTCAAAAAAAAAAAAAAGAAAGGAGGAAATGGTATAAATATTATATCTAAAATAATGGATCTTTTACAGTGCCAGCTTCCTTTGTAGAACTGTTTGGAGCAGTCAGTGGTTCTCAACGTGGATTGATTTTGCCCCTCAGGGACACTTGATAATGTTTGGAGACTGTTTCTTTGATGGCTTTGCCTGGGAGAGGTGCTATTGGCATCCATTGTGTGGCACCCAGGGGTGCTATTAAACATCCTAGTGACATAGGATCCCTCCGCCCCCTCCCCAATAATGAGCTGACCCTAAATGTCAGTATTACCATGGTTGGGAAATCCTGATTGAAGCCCCATTTTGTTGTAGATGTGTTCTCTGCTCCTCACTCTTACCTTTCTCTCTCCCTCAGCCTTCTGAGATTGGGTCCCAGCAGGGATTCATTTCGCATTCTTTTCCATTTTCATTCAAGCTGCCTTCAGTGTTTCTGTCATTGTCATTTAACTACAGGAACATAAAGCATGGCTTCCTTTATTCTCTGGCCTTTGATTTATTTAATGTGGCGAAGCTGGGGTCTGAAGAGGCATGATACTAACCACCTGAGTGGTTTCGATGCTTTCTCTTTGCTGTCCTGTGGCTCCTGTGACCTTTTGTGCGAGTGATCCTCAGGACCGAGTCCTGCACTGTTGGTTGCTGGCAACCTTTTGAGTTTTTGAGTCTTCCTGTCTCACATCTCAAGGCAGTGGGATTTCTGGTGCCTGCACCCAGTCTAGGGTGCAATAGCAGCTATTAGCAAAAGACTGGGTGGTAGTGATTGGAAACTGGGATGAGGACTTATCTGGCTTTCTGCCTTCCTGGGCAGGTATCCTAGGGGCAGGAGAGCTATGAGGTGGATCCACCACCCACTGGACAGGGTGGGTACCTGGCAGAAGAGAAGCTGAGAGGCCTCAGCCCTCCTGGTGGCCCTCACTGGCCTAGCACCTTGCATCTGGATGTTTGGACTGTCTGAGCTTGATTTCCCATCTGATGGCAGGGGTAGGGGAGCAGCTCCCAACATATGAGAGCTGCTCTGCTGTACTGTGGGCCTGGGCACACTGCACCATGGTGTCATCACCAGGCCTTTTCTTTCCCTGGGCCAGGTACTAAGGATGCTTACTGAGCGCTTTAGGCATCTTTATACACAACCTTCTGGAATGCCTGTCTGTTGGTGCTGAGGTCCAGGACTGGCTGGCTCATCTCTCATAATCCAGCTTGCCCATCCTTTGATGCAACTGGCCCCTTCTTTGCTATGGGCATCCTTCCTCATTTACTCGCTGAATCACAGCATATGCTTATAGAACCCTTCTGCGTGCTGGCCGCATTCTTTAGGCCCTGGGACATAAGAAAGTGAGGCCCAGTCTTAGCAGTTTAGAAGGGGCCATGAACCTTAAAATTGAGTAATCACTAAGTAATCATTTCCCTGGCCACCATGAGTATAGCTGGAATGACCTAGTGCCCTGGGGGAAGGTGGGTGAAGACACCAGCCCTGAGGTCATACTGTTTTCTTCCTCTGAGAATACCAAGGAATCTGAGTCTTGATAGCATAGCTTTAAAACTCTTTTTTTTTTTTTTTGAGACAGAGCCTCAAGCTGTCCCCCTGGGTAGAGTGCCGTGGCATTACAGCTCACAGCAACCTCAAACCTCCAACTCCTGGGCTCAAGCGAGTCTCCTGCCTCCACCTCCCAGGTAGCTGGGACCACAGGCACCCGCCACAACGCCCGGCTACTTTTTGGTTGCAGCCGTCATTGTTGTTTGGCGGGTCCGGGCTGGGGATTCGAACCCGCCACCTTAGGTGTACGTGGCTGGCACCTTAGCCGGTTGAGCTATAGGCGCCAAGCCAGCTTTAAAACTCTTGACAGAGCAGAACCCAAGAAGTCAAATATAGTAGAACCCCCATAGTTGACCACCTCCTTACATTGAACCCCTCTTTAAGTTGACCTAATTTTCATAGACCCGACATATATCACATGTATGTGTCAGTACAGTAGGCTTAGTTCTTTATGTTGCCCACCTCTGTATATTGACCAAATTTGCTACAGTCTCTTGTGTGATGAACTTATAGATGTTCTACTGTACTAAAATTGGAGGGCTGGATGTGGTTTCTCATGCTTATAATCCAAGCTTTGGGAGGCCAGCAAGGGAGATCACTTGAGGCTAGGAGTTGGAGACTAGCCTTTGGGACATAATGAGACCCCCCCATCTCTCAAAAAATTTTAAAAAATAACTATCTGGGCATGGTGGTGCCTGCATATAGTCCAGCTACTCAGGAGGCTGAGACAGGAGGATTGCTTGAGTCCAGGAGTTCAAGATTTCAGTAAGCTGTGATTTTGCCACTGTACCAGCTTGGGGGACAGAGTGAGACCCTGTCTCCACAAAAATTAAATAAAATTAGAGCTGTGTAGGTTATCAGTGGGATGAGAACCCAGAATGGACTTGGGTTGAGAGCCTTTAAGGCTCCCTTGGCCCTCTGGACACTAGAACAGTGTGAACTGTACTGGTACTCTGGGTAGCGGGCCTCACGGCTGAATAAACATCAGAAACCTCTGGGCAGTTACAAAAAGTTGTGACTCTACCCCGCTCCAGACCCACTTAAATCTGAACTCTGACCTCAGCAGGACTCTCATTTTGGGGTTTACAACTTTTTTTATTTCCTCCTATAAGCGTTTTTTTTTTTTTTTGAGACAGAACCTCAAGCTGTTACCCTGGGTAAAGTGCTGTGGCATCACAACTCACAGCAACTGTCAACTCCTGGGCTCAAGCGATTCTCCTGCCTCTGCCTCCCAAGTAGCTGGGATTACAGGCACCTGCCACAATGCCTGGCTATTTTTTGGTTGCAGCCATCATTGTTTGGCGGGTCTAGGCTGGATTTGAACCTGCCAGCTTAGGTGTATGTGGCTAGCGCCTTAGCCGCTTGAGCTACAGGCACTGAGCCCACCTATAAGCTTTTAAGACCTAGAGAGTCTTTCGAGGAGGGGCCCAAGGATAGTAATGTGAAAAGGTGAGCAGGGGATGTCAGTGGGAGCATAGACGGGAGGGGAGGGTGTTTCCAAGGGTGAACTTACCTTGAAACATCCTAGCAAGCACACCTCCCTGTGTGGGGATGACAAAATAGACACACATAAAGTTTTCTTTCCTTTCTAACCATTTTGAGGTAGAATCCATGGAATATAAAATGAACCATTTTAGAGTGAGCAGTTCAGAAAATACTGTCCTAAAATAAAATTACAATTAAAAAAAAATAAAGTGAGTAGTTCAGTAGCATTTGGTACATTCATGGTGTTATACAATCATCACTGTTATTTAGTTCTGGGACATTTTTATCACCCAAAGGGAAACCTCGTTCCGGTTAACTGCTTACTCCTCATTCCTCCTGCCCCAGCCTCTGGTGGTTGTCAGTCTGTGTTCTGTCTCCAGCATTTGCTGCCTATTCATGGGTAGTTCATATAAATGGAATCAGGCAATATGTCGGCTTTTATGTCTGGCTTCTTTCAGTTGATGTGTTTTCGAGGTTCTTCCATGTTCTAGGATGTATTACTCCTAGGAGGCTGGGCCTTTGCCGTCTAGGTGCTCATGGTTTGGGTGGGAAACAGAAAAGATAGAAAAATACTCAAGCGTTGATTGTAAGCAGAAAGAAGGGTAGTCATAGCCACAGCAGGGGAGGGATAGATGTGCCTAGAGGCCAGAGAAGCTTTTGGAAAAGAGGTGCCCTTGCAGGAAGTCTGGGAGGAAGGCAGCTTTCCTGTGGCAGAAGAGGACAGAATCAGCCTGACTGGGGCACAGGGGAGCTAGGCAGGTATTTTTGTGGACTTTGCAAAAGTTAAGTGCATGTAGAGGATGTTTGTAAGGAAAAGGACAGAAAATAGAGATGAAGCTGGCAAGTGGGTTTCAGGATTCCTGTAGCAGGCCAAGGAGGTAGGACTTTGTGCTTTTAAAGAGTTTCCTATGTGAGAGAATTGCAGCAGAGTTGGGGAGGTAACTTGGTGAATCCCTGGGGATGGTTTTCGTGAGATGAAACTGGAAGCAGGATGATTGTGGAGAAAGGTCACAAGGGTCTAATGGAACTAAGGAGACACAGAGAGAAGGACGTGTTGCCAGTCATCATTATGCCTAGGCGGCAGGAACCCCTGATTCTGGATGCCCCATGGAATATTCTGGGAGGGAGAAGAGCAAGAGTTTTTGAGGGTGAGTCTCAGTTTGGATTCCCAGGTTGGCTCCATAGGTGGAATTGCTTCCTGCGAGTGGGAAGGCTGAGGGAGGAGCAGGTGTCTGTTGTGTCATCTTTGGTCTTGTTCTGCTCTTGGCAGTGAAAGGCTGGTGTGAAGAATGAGTTCAGCCGCAGCCACATGGCTCAGAATTAGTTGGCATTTGTCCAGTTGGAGATGTGTTTAGGAGGTAGTGGGGAATGACAGGTTGGGGCACAGGAGGAAGGCTGGAGCTGGAGGTAAGCAAGAGAGCTGGAGAGGGAGAAAGCAGGAACAGGGGATGGGGAAGCCGGGTAGGAGGAGAGGGCGTCAGTGAGGAATGAGAAAGACTGCACTGCACGGCCTGGAGGGAAGGTAGCCTGGCAGGGGAGGTGCCAGGTGAAGGGGCAGACCAGGCCAGGGTACAGTCAGTTCTTAGTGCCCCCATATGCAGTGAATCGATGAGAAGATGGCTATAAGTAGCTATTACTGTGCTGGTTTCAAGGTCATTTGGGTTCATCTCCTCCAACACAGAGTTTGGTATTTATTGGTGAAAAAATAGTCATGTGTTATCTTCCCTCCACCATTGGACTATTTCATCTATCTATAGTTTTCTTCTCAACTGTAGATATGTAAATCGAAGATGTTACATACTTTGGAAAGGTTCATGATTGGGAATCTTCCCTAATGTGCATCCTGGTAATTAATTAATTTTCATATTGATTGATATGCATGACTATTGGTCAACCTGAAGATTTTACTTTTTTTTCAGACAGAGTCTCACTATGTCACCCTGGGTAGAGTGCTATAGCGTCACTGCTCACAGCAACCTCAAACTCCTGGGCTTAAGCGATTCTCTTGCCTCAGCCTCATGAGTAGGTGGGACTACAGGCGCCTACCATAGTGCCTGGCTATTTTTAGAGATGAGATTTTGCTCTGGCTCAGGCTGGTCTCAAACCTGTGAGATCAGGTGATCCACTATTCTCAGCTTCCAAAGTGCTGGGATTACAGGTGTGAGCCAATGTGGAGGGCTGAAGATTTTACTTTTAAGCCACTTATGTTCTTGTTCTTTGGATTTCAGAGCTTACCCAGATTGAGGATCCCCGAGAACAGTGGCGGCGAGAGCAGGAACGCATGTTGAAGGAATATTTAATTGTAGCCCAAGAAGCTCTCAATGCCAAGAAAGAAATCTACCAGATTAAACAGCAGCGGTTCGAGCTGGCTCAAGAGGAATACCAGCAGCTGCACAAAATGTGTGAGGACGACAGCCGGTCCTACGCCAGCTGTGAGTTGCCTTGTCTCCTTCAGTTAACACTTGTGCCTTTAAAAGCCATCTCTCTGGTTGGTGGCTGTCTACAAATGCTGAACTTCTCTTGGGTAAAACAGCTTCATAAAGGTTCTAATAGGTAATCAATATTCTGTACCAGAATCAGATGGCATCTGGTAGACACTCCTGTAGCAAAGCTTTATCAAGTGCCTACTTTGGGCCTATGCACTAGGATATGGAGCTTACATTTAGGTAGGGAAGGTAAAAAAATAAACATGCCAACAAAATTTCATGTAGTGACATGAAGCAACCTTCTGTCTCAACTTTGTCAGTTTTGAAGAAAGCTTCTGTTAAGAGATCTGTGCAACTACTACTGCTTGTCTGGGGCAATCTCTTGGGGAAATCTACGTGGTAGTTTCATGAATCTTGGGTGGAGAGGCTCAGGAACCTTCAGCCTTGTCAAGCATTGGTCTTTTTGTAGAGAACTTTGCTGGACTTTAGGTGTTATTGGGCAGTAACCTGAAGGACGAATATAGTATAACCCACAGAGTCAAGAGACTCTCTTTCTGTCCTTCAAGTAAGATGATGGTTCACTGTTCTCCTTCGAAGGGATCCTTCCTCAGTTTTGGGGGCTGCCAAAGTGGGCTTTCATTTCATTAGTACTCATCAAATGCTCAGGTAGTACAGGAACCAGATCTGGTCTCAGAGGTCAAAGCATTTTGTTAACAGCCACTGCTTGAACCAATCCCTTCCCAACAGAGCTACAACAGCACTATGTTGTACTTTATAAACACCTAAGTCTCTTTGAGGTGGGGGAGCGGCTTTCTTGTCACATTATTGCCATGTTGCCAGGGTAGACATCAAATACATAGCCAAACCTTTATTCTGTATTGCAAGTCAGAATGGTGTTATAACCAAGGGGCCACACATCTTATTGCACCTACAGTTGAAGGCAAAGAAATTGTATGAGCTGTGGACAGTGGTGGGTTTTTTTCTTTGCAATAGGAATTTAAGATATCCTTATTACTATGTGCCTTAAGGGAAGCGGGGACTCAGGTTTCGGTGGTGTGTTGTTTGTGAGTCATTTTATCTCTTGTTCTTCAGATCTTCAGATGCGGGTACATACTACTAATTCTTTTTTTTAACTTTACGTCAGAATGTGATAGGTCAGCTCAGTAGTGATTTTTAGAGTCTAGTTTCTTTCTTTCTTTCTTTCTTTTTTTTTTTTTTTTTTTTGCAGTTTTTGGCCAGGGCCTGGTTTGAACCTGCCACCTCCAGTAGATGGGGCCAACGCCCTACTCCTTTGAGCCACGGGCGCCACCCTAGAGTCTAGTTTCTTATCTCCACAGTTATCTTTTCTTGTAATGTCTTTGGTTTTGGTATCAGGGTAATACTGGCCTAGTGAAATGAATCAGGAAGTATTCTCTCCTCTTTTTGAGTTTTGTAGGATTAGTTAGTATTAATGCATTCTTAACTATTTGATAAAATTCACCAGAAAATCCACCTGGGTTTGTAGTTTTCTGTGGGGATATTTTCAACTGCAGATTCAGTATCGTTAACAGATCATCTAATCTAAAAGTTGGCAAACTTTTCTATAAAGGATCAGCTAGTAAATATTTTATGCTTTGCAGGCTATATGATCTCAGTTCCAGCTAATCATTTTTGTGGTTATGGTACAAAAATATTCAGGGACAATATGTAGAAAAATGTGTGTGGCTGTGGTCCAATAAAAGCATAAAAACAGGCTCGGCGCCTGTGGCTCAAGCGGCTAAGGCGCCAGCCACATACACCTAAG